CTGCGTACCAATGCAGCAGTCTGTCAACACAACAGTGACATTCAACAGTTAACCAAGATACTAAGGTAACTTCCTCCTGCAGCCGAGCTGATTGTTTCCTGACCTCATATAGAGCACCTCTACCTGAAGCCACTGGACACACTGGCCTCTAGTCTGCGTACCAATACAGCAGTCTGTCAACACAACAGTGACATTCAACAGTTAACCAAGATACTAATGTAACTTCCTCCTGCGGCCGAGCTGATTGTTCCCTGGCCTCATATAGAGCAGCCTCTAACCTGAGGCCACTGGACACACTGGCCTCTAGTCTGCATACCAATGCAGCAGTCTGTCAACACAACAGTGACATTCAACAGTTAACCAAGATACTAAGGTAACTTCCTCCTGCAGCCGAGCTGATTGTTTCCTGGCCTCATATTGAGCAGCCTCTAACCTGAGGCCACTGGACACACTGGCCTCTAGTCTGCGTACCAATGCAGTAGTCTGTCAACACAACAGTGACATTCAACAGTTAACCAAGATACTAAGGTAACTTCCTCCTGCAGCCGAGCTTTTTGTTTCCTGACCTCATATAGAGCACCTCTACCTGAAGCCACTGGACACACTGGCCTCTAGTCTGCGTACCAATGCAGCAGTCTGTCAACACAACAGTGACATTCAACAGTTAACCAAGATACTAATGTAACTTCCTCCTGCAGCCGAGCTGATTGTTCCGTGGCCTCATATAGAGCAGCCTCTAACCTGAGGCCACTGGACACACTGGCCTCTAGTCTGCGTACCAATGCAGCAGTCTGTCAACACAACAGTGACATTCAACAGTTAACAAAAAAACTAAGGTAACTTCCTCCTGCAGCCGAGCTGATTGTTCCCTGGCCTCATATAGAGCAGCCTCTAACCTGAGGCCACTGGACACACTGGCCTCTAGTCTGCGTACCAATGCAGCAGTCTGTCAACACAACAGTGACATTCAACAGTTAACCAAGATACTAAGGTAACTTCCTCCTGCAGCCGAGCTGATTGTTCCCTGGCCTCATATAGAGCAGCCTCTAACCTGAAGCCACTGGACACACTGGCCTCTAGTCTGCGTACCAATGCAGCAGTCTGTCAACACAACAGTGACATTCAACAGTTAACCAATATACTAATGTAACTTCCTCCTGCAGCCGAGCTGATTGTTTCCTGACCTCATATAGAGCACCTCTACCTGAAGCCACTGGACACATTGGCCTCTAGTCTGCGTACCAATGCAGCAGTCTGTCAACACAACAGTGACATTCAACAGTTAACCAAGATACTAATGTAACTTCCTCCTGCAGCCGAGCTGATTGTTCCCTGGCCTCATATAGAGCAGGCTCTAACCTGAGGCCACTGGACACACTGGCCTCTAGTCTGCTTACCAATGCAGCAGTCTGTCAACACAACAGTGACATTCAACAGTTAACCAAGATACTAAGGTAACTTCCTCCTGCAGCCGAGCTGATTGTTTCCTGACCTCATATAGAGCACCTCTACCTGAAGCCACTGGACACACTGGCCTCTAGTCTGCGTACCAATGCAGCAGTCTGTCAACACAACAGTGACATTCAACAGTTAACCAAGATACTAAGGTAACTTCCTCCTGCAGCCGAGCTGATTGTTTCCGGACCTCATATAGAGCACCTCTACCTGAAGCCACTGGACACACTGGCCTCTAGTCTGCGTACCAATGCAGCAGTCTGTCAACACAACAGTGACATTCAACAGTTAACCAAGATACTAATGTAACTTCCTCCTGCAGCCGAGCTGATTGTTCCCTGGCCTCATATAGAGCAGCCTCTAACCTGAGGCCACTGGACACACTGGCCTCTAGTCTGCGTACCAATGCAGCAGTCTGTCAACACAACAGTGACATTCAACAGTTAACCAAGATACTAAGGTAACTTCCTCCTGCAGCCGAGCTGATTGTTTCCTGACCTCATATAGAGCAGCCTCTAACCTGAGGCCACTGGACACACTGGCCTCTAGTCTGCGTACCAATGCAGCAGTCTGTCAACACAACAGTGACATTCAACAGGTAACCAAGATACTAAGGTAACTTCCTCCTGCAGCCGAGCTGATTGTTTCCTGACCTCATATAGAGCACCTCTACCTGAAGCCACTGGACACACTGGCCTCTAGTCTGCGTACCAATGCAGCAGTCTGTCAACACAACAGTGACATTCAACAGTTAACCAAGATACTAAGGTAACTTCCTCCTGCAGCCGAGCTGATTGTTTCCTGACCTCATATAGAGCACCTCTACCTGAAGCCACTGGACACACTGGCCTCTAGTCTGCGTACCAATACAGCAGTCTGTCAACACAACAGTGACATTCAACAGTTAACCAAGATACTAAGGTAACTTCCTCCTGCAGCCGAGCTGATTGTTTCCTGACCTCATATAGAGCACCTCTACCTGAAGCCACTGGACACACTGGCCTCTAGTCTGCGTACCAATGCAGCAGTCTGTCAACACAACAGTGACATTCAACAGTTAACCAAGATACTAAGGTAACTTCCTCCTGCAGCCGAGCTGATTGTTTCCTGACCTCATATAGAGCACCTCTACCTGAAGCCACTGGACACACTGGCCTCTAGTCTGCGTACCAATACAGCAGTCTGTCAACACAACAGTGACATTCAACAGTTAACCAAGATACTAATGTAACTTCCTCCTGCGGCCGAGCTGATTGTTCCCTGGCCTCATATAGAGCAGCCTCTAACCTGAGGCCACTGGACACACTGGCCTCTAGTCTGCATACCAATGCAGCAGTCTGTCAACACAACAGTGACATTCAACAGTTAACCAAGATACTAAGGTAACTTCCTCCTGCAGCCGAGCTGATTGTTTCCTGGCCTCATATTGAGCAGCCTCTAACCTGAGGCCACTGGACACACTGGCCTCTAGTCTGCGTACCAATGCAGTAGTCTGTCAACACAACAGTGACATTCAACAGTTAACCAAGATACTAAGGTAACTTCCTCCTGCAGCCGAGCTTTTTGTTTCCTGACCTCATATAGAGCACCTCTACCTGAAGCCACTGGACACACTGGCCTCTAGTCTGCGTACCAATGCAGCAGTCTGTCAACACAACAGTGACATTCAACAGTTAACCAAGATACTAATGTAACTTCCTCCTGCAGCCGAGCTGATTGTTCCGTGGCCTCATATAGAGCAGCCTCTAACCTGAGGCCACTGGACACACTGGCCTCTAGTCTGCGTACCAATGCAGCAGTCTGTCAACACAACAGTGACATTCAACAGTTAACAAAAAAACTAAGGTAACTTCCTCCTGCAGCCGAGCTGATTGTTCCCTGGCCTCATATAGAGCAGCCTCTAACCTGAGGCCACTGGACACACTGGCCTCTAGTCTGCGTACCAATGCAGCAGTCTGTCAACACAACAGTGACATTCAACAGTTAACCAAGATACTAAGGTAACTTCCTCCTGCAGCCGAGCTGATTGTTCCCTGGCCTCATATAGAGCAGCCTCTAACCTGAAGCCACTGGACACACTGGCCTCTAGTCTGCGTACCAATGCAGCAGTCTGTCAACACAACAGTGACATTCAACAGTTAACCAATATACTAATGTAACTTCCTCCTGCAGCCGAGCTGATTGTTTCCTGACCTCATATAGAGCACCTCTACCTGAAGCCACTGGACACATTGGCCTCTAGTCTGCGTACCAATGCAGCAGTCTGTCAACACAACAGTGACATTCAACAGTTAACCAAGATACTAATGTAACTTCCTCCTGCAGCCGAGCTGATTGTTCCCTGGCCTCATATAGAGCAGGCTCTAACCTGAGGCCACTGGACACACTGGCCTCTAGTCTGCTTACCAATGCAGCAGTCTGTCAACACAACAGTGACATTCAACAGTTAACCAAGATACTAAGGTAACTTCCTCCTGCAGCCGAGCTGATTGTTTCCTGACCTCATATAGAGCACCTCTACCTGAAGCCACTGGACACACTGGCCTCTAGTCTGCGTACCAATGCAGCAGTCTGTCAACACAACAGTGACATTCAACAGTTAACCAAGATACTAAGGTAACTTCCTCCTGCAGCCGAGCTGATTGTTTCCGGACCTCATATAGAGCACCTCTACCTGAAGCCACTGGACACACTGGCCTCTAGTCTGCGTACCAATGCAGCAGTCTGTCAACACAACAGTGACATTCAACAGTTAACCAAGATACTAATGTAACTTCCTCCTGCAGCCGAGCTGATTGTTCCCTGGCCTCATATAGAGCAGCCTCTAACCTGAGGCCACTGGACACACTGGCCTCTAGTCTGCGTACCAATGCAGCAGTCTGTCAACACAACAGTGACATTCAACAGTTAACTAAGATACTAAGGTAACTTCCTCCTGCAGCCGAGCTGATTGTTTCCTGACCTCATATAGAGCACCTCTACCTGAAGCCACTGGACACACTGGCCTCTAGTCTGCGTACCAATACAGCAGTCTGTCAACACAACAGTGACATTCAACAGTTAACCAAGATACTAATGTAACTTCCTCCTGCGGCCGAGCTGATTGTTCCCTGGCCTCATATAGAGCAGCCTCTAACCTGAGGCCACTGGACACACTGGCCTCTAGTCTGCATACCAATGCAGCAGTCTGTCAACACAACAGTGACATTCAACAGTTAACCAAGATACTAAGGTTACTTCCTCCTGCAGCTGAGCTGATTGTTTCCTGGCCTCATATAGAGCAGCCTCTAACCTGAAGCCACTGGACACACTAGCCTCTAGTCTGCGTACCAATGCAGCAGTCTGTCAACACATTAGTGACATTCAACAGTTAACCAAGATACTAAGGTAACTTCCTCCTGCAGCCGAGCTGATTGTTTCCTGGCCTCATATAGAGCACCTCTACCTGAAGCCACTGGACACACTGGCCTCTAGACTGCGTACCAATGCAGCAGTCTGTCAACACAACAGTGACATTCAACAGTTAACCAAGATACTAAGGTTACTTCCTCCTGCAGCTGAGCTGATTGTTTCCTGGCCTCATATAGAGCAGCCTCTAACCTGAAGCCACTGGACACACTAGCCTCTAGTCTGCGTACCAATGCAGCAGTCTGTCAACACATTAGTGACATTCAACAGTTAACCAAGATACTAAGGTAACTTCCTCCTGCAGCCGAGCTGATTGTTTCCTGGCCTCATATAGAGCACCTCTACCTGAAGCCACTGGACACACTGGCCTCTAGTTTGCGTACCAATGCAGCAGTCTGTCAACACAACAGTGACATTCAACAGTTAGCCAAGATACTAAGGTAACTTCCTCCTGCAGCTGAGCTGATTGTTCCCTGGCCTCATATAGAGCAGCCTCTAACCTGAGGCCACTGGACACACTGGCCTCTAGTCTGCGTACCAATGCAGTAGTCTGTCAACACAACAGTGACATTCAACAGTTAACCAAGATACTAAGGTAACTTCCTCCTGCAGCCGAGCTTTTTGTTTCCTGACCTCATATAGAGCACCTCTACCTGAAGCCACTGGACACCCTGGCCTCTAGTCTGCGTACCAATGCAGCAGTCTGTCAACACAACAGTGACATTCAACAGTTAACCAAGATACTAATGTAACTTCCTCCTGCAGCCGAGCTGATTGTTCCGTGGCCTCATATAGAGCAGCCTCTAACCTGAGGCCACTGGACACACTGGCCTCTAGTCTGCGTACCAATGCAGTCTGTCAACACAACAGTGACATTAAACAGTTAACAAAAAAACTAAGGTAACTTCCTCCTGCAGCCGAGCTGATTGTTCCCTGGCCTCATATAGAGCAGCCTCTAACCTGAGGCCACTGGACACACTGGCCTCTAGTCTGCGTACCAATGCAGCAGTCTGTCAACACATTAGTGACATTCAACAGTTAACCAAGATACTAAGGTAACTTCCTCCTGCAGCCGAGCTGATTGTTTCCTGGCCTCATATAGAGCAGCCTCTAACCTGAAGCTACTGGACACACTGGCCTCTAGTCTGCGTACCAATGCAGCAGTCTGTCAACACAACAGTGACATTCAACAGTTAACCAAGATACTAAGGTAACTTCCTCCTGCAGCCGAGCTGATTGTTTCCTGACCTCATATAGAGCACCTCTACCTGAAGCCACTGGACACACTGGCCTCTAGTCTGCGTACCAATGCAGCAGTCTGTCAACACAACAGTGACATTCAACAGTTAGCCAAGATACTAAGGTAACTTCCTCCTGGAGCTGAGCTGATTGTTCCCTGGCCTCATATAGAGCAGCCTCTAACCTGAGGCCACTGGACACACTGGCCTCTAGTCTGCGTACCAATGCAGCAGTCTGTCAACACAACAGTGACATTCAACAGTTAACCAAGATACTAAGGTAACTTCCTCCTGCAGCCGAGCTGATTGTTTCCTGACCTCATATAGAGCAGCCTCTAACCAGAGGCCACTGGACACACTGGCCTCTAGTCTGCGTACCAATGCAGCAGTCTGTCAACACAACAGTGACATTCAACAGTTAACCAAGATACTAAGGTAACTTCCTCCTGCAGCCGAGCTGATTGTTTCCTGACCTCATATAGAGCACCTCTACCTGAAGCCACTGGACACACTGGCCTCTAGTCTGTGTACCAATGCAGCAGTCTGTCAACACAACAGTGACATTCAACAGTTAACCAAGATACTAAGGTAACTTCCTCCTGCAGCCGAGCTGATTGTTTCCTGACCTCATATAGAGCAGCCTCTAACCTGAGGCCACTGGACACACTGGCCTCTAGTCTGCGTACCAATGCAGCAGTCTGTCAACACAACAGTGACATTCAACAGGTAACCAAGATACTAAGGTAACTTCCTCCTGCAGCCGAGCTGATTGTTTCCTGACCTCATATAGAGCACCTCTACCTGAAGCCACTGGACACACTGGCCTCTAGTCTGCGTACCAATGCAGCAGTCTGTCAACACAACAGTGACATTCAACAGTTAACCAAGATACTAATGTAACTTCCTCCTGCAGCCGAGCTGATTGTTCCCTGGCCTCATATAGAGCAGCCTCTAACCTGAGGCCACTGGACACACTGGCCTCTAGTCTGCGTACCAATGCAGCAGTCTGTCAACACAACAGTGACATTCAACAGTTAACCAAGATACTAAGGTAACTTCCTCCTGCAGCCGAGCTACCTCTACCTGAAGCCACTGGACACACTGGCCTCTAGTCTGCGTACCAATACAGCAGTCTGTCAACACAACAGTGACATTCAACAGTTAACCAAGATACTAATGTAACTTCCTCCTGCGGCCGAGCTGATTGTTCCCTGGCCTCATATAGAGCAGCCTCTAACCTGAGGCCACTGGACACACTGGCCTCTAGTCTGCATACCAATGCAGCAGTCTGTCAACACAACAGTGACATTCAACAGTTAACCAAGATACTAAGGTAACTTCCTCCTGCAGCCGAGCTGATTGTTTCCTGGCCTCATATAGAGCAGCCTCTAACCTGAAGCCACTGGACACACTGGCCTCTAGTCTGCGTACCAATGCAGCAGTCTGTCAACACAACAGTGACATTCAACAGTTAACCAAGATACTAAGGTAACTTCCTCCTGCAGCCGAGCTGATTGTTTCCTGACCTCATATAGAGCACCTCTACCTGAAGCCACTGGACACACTGGCCTCTAGTCTGCGTACCAATGCAGCAGTCTGTCAACACAACAGTGACATTCAACAGTTAGCCAAGATACTAAGGTAACTTCCTCCTGCAGCTGAGCTGATTGTTCCCTGGCCTCATATAGAGCAGCCTCTAACCTGAGGCCACTGGACACACTGGCCTCTAGTCTGCGTACCAATGCAGTAGTCTGTCAACACAACAGTGACATTCAACAGTTAACCAAGATACTAAGGTAACTTCCTCCTGCAGCCGAGCTTTTTGTTTCCTGACCTCATATAGAGCACCTCTACCTGAAGCCACTGGACACACTGGCCTCTAGTCTGCGTACCAATGCAGCAGTCTGTCAACACAACAGTGACATTCAACAGTTAACCAAGATACTAATGTAACTTCCTCCTGCAGCCGAGCTGATTGTTCCGTGGCCTCATATAGAGCAGCCTCTAACCTGAGGCCACTGGACACACTGGCCTCTAGTCTGCGTACCAATGCAGCAGTCTGTCAACACAACAGTGACATTCAACAGTTAACAAAAAAACTAAGGTAACTTCCTCCTGCAGCCGAGCTGATTGTTCCCTGGCCTCATATAGAGCAGCCTCTAACCTGAGGCCACTGGACACACTGGCCTCTAGTCTGCGTACCAATGCAGCAGTCTGTCAACACAACAGTGACATTCAACAGTTAACCAAGATACTAAGGTAACTTCCTCCTGCAGCCGAGCTGATTGTTCCCTGGCCTCATATAGAGCAGCCTCTAACCTGAAGCCACTGGACACACTGGCCTCTAGTCTGCGTACCAATGCAGCAGTCTGTCAACACAACAGTGACATTCAACAGTTAACCAATATACTAATGTAACTTCCTCCTGCAGCCGAGCTGATTGTTTCCTGACCTCATATAGAGCACCTCTACCTGAAGCCACTGGACACATTGGCCTCTAGTCTGCGTACCAATGCAGCAGTCTGTCAACACAACAGTGACATTCAACAGTTAACCAAGATACTAATGTAACTTCCTCCTGCAGCCGAGCTGATTGTTCCCTGGCCTCATATAGAGCAGGCTCTAACCTGAGGCCACTGGACACACTGGCCTCTAGTCTGCTTACCAATGCAGCAGTCTGTCAACACAACAGTGACATTCAACAGTTAACCAAGATACTAAGGTAACTTCCTCCTGCAGCCGAGCTGATTGTTTCCTGACCTCATATAGAGCACCTCTACCTGAAGCCACTGGACACACTGGCCTCTAGTCTGCGTACCAATGCAGCAGTCTGTCAACACATTAGTGACATTCAACAGTTAACCAAGATACTAAGGTAACTTCCTCCTGCAGCCGAGCTGATTGTTTCCTGGCCTCATATAGAGCACCTCTACCTGAAGCCACTGGACACACTGGCCTCTAGTTTGCGTACCAATGCAGCAGTCTGTCAACACAACAGTGACATTCAACAGTTAGCCAAGATACTAAGGTAACTTCCTCCTGCAGCTGAGCTGATTGTTCCCTGGCCTCATATAGAGCAGCCTCTAACCTGAGGCCACTGGACACACTGGCCTCTAGTCTGCGTACCAATGCAGTAGTCTGTCAACACAACAGTGACATTCAACAGTTAACCAAGATACTAAGGTAACTTCCTCCTGCAGCCGAGCTTTTTGTTTCCTGACCTCATATAGAGCACCTCTACCTGAAGCCACTGGACACCCTGGCCTCTAGTCTGCGTACCAATGCCTGTCTGTCAACAATGTCTGTCAACACAACAGTGACATTCAACAGTTAACCAAGATACTAATGTAACTTCCTCCTGCAGCCGAGCTGATTGTTCCGTGGCCTCATATAGAGCAGCCTCTAACCTGAGGCCACTGGACACACTGGCCTCTAGTCTGCGTACCAATGCAGTCTGTCAACACAACAGTGACATTAAACAGTTAACAAAAAAACTAAGGTAACTTCCTCCTGCAGCCGAGCTGATTGTTCCCTGGCCTCATATAGAGCAGCCTCTAACCTGAGGCCACTGGACACACTGGCCTCTAGTCTGCGTACCAATGCAGCAGTCTGTCAACACATTAGTGACATTCAACAGTTAACCAAGATACTAAGGTAACTTCCTCCTGCAGCCGAGCTGATTGTTTCCTGGCCTCATATAGAGCAGCCTCTAACCTGAAGCTACTGGACACACTGGCCTCTAGTCTGCGTACCAATGCAGCAGTCTGTCAACACAACAGTGACATTCAACAGTTAACCAAGATACTAAGGTAACTTCCTCCTGCAGCCGAGCTGATTGTTTCCTGACCTCATATAGAGCACCTCTACCTGAAGCCACTGGACACACTGGCCTCTAGTCTGCGTACCAATGCAGCAGTCTGTCAACACAACAGTGACATTCAACAGTTAGCCAAGATACTAAGGTAACTTCCTCCTGGAGCTGAGCTGATTGTTCCCTGGCCTCATATAGAGCAGCCTCTAACCTGAGGCCACTGGACACACTGGCCTCTAGTCTGCGTACCAATGCAGCAGTCTGTCAACACAACAGTGACATTCAACAGTTAACCAAGATACTAAGGTAACTTCCTCCTGCAGCCGAGCTGATTGTTTCCTGACCTCATATAGAGCAGCCTCTAACCAGAGGCCACTGGACACACTGGCCTCTAGTCTGCGTACCAATGCAGCAGTCTGTCAACACAACAGTGACATTCAACAGTTAACCAAGATACTAAGGTAACTTCCTCCTGCAGCCGAGCTGATTGTTTCCTGACCTCATATAGAGCACCTCTACCTGAAGCCACTGGACACACTGGCCTCTAGTCTGTGTACCAATGCAGCAGTCTGTCAACACAACAGTGACATTCAACAGTTAACCAAGATACTAAGGTAACTTCCTCCTGCAGCCGAGCTGATTGTTTCCTGACCTCATATAGAGCACCTCTACCTGAAGCCACTGAACACACTGGCCTCTAGTCTGCGTACCAATGCAGCAGTCTGTCAACACAACAGTGACATTCAACAGGTAACCAAGATACTAAGGTAACTTCCTCCTGCAGCCGAGCTGATTGTTTCCTGACCTCATATAGAGCACCTCTACCTGAAGCCACTGGACACACTGGCCTCTAGTCTGCGTACCAATGCAGCAGTCTGTCAACACAACAGTGACATTCAACAGTTAACCAAGATACTAATGTAACTTCCTCCTGCAGCCGAGCTGATTGTTCCCTGGCCTCATATAGAGCAGCCTCTAACCTGAGGCCACTGGACACACTGGCCTCTAGTCTGCGTACCAATGCAGCAGTCTGTCAACACAACAGTGACATTCAACAGTTAACCAAGATACTAAGGTAACTTCCTCCTGCAGCCGAGCTGATTGTTTCCTGACCTCATATAGAGCACCTCTACCTGAAGCCACTGGACACACTGGCCTCTAGTCTGCGTACCAATACAGCAGTCTGTCAACACAACAGTGACATTCAACAGTTAACCAAGATACTAATGTAACTTCCTCCTGCGGCCGAGCTGATTGTTCCCTGGCCTCATATAGAGCAGCCTCTAACCTGAGGCCACTGGACACACTGGCCTCTAGTCTGCATACCAATGCAGCAGTCTGTCAACACAACAGTGACATTCAACAGTTAACCAAGATACTAAGGTAACTTCCTCCTGCAGCCGAGCTGATTGTTTCCTGACCTCATATAGAGCAGCCTCTAACCTGAGGCCACTGGACACACTGGCCTCTAGTCTGCGTACCAATGCAGCAGTCTGTCAACACAACAGTGACATTCAACAGTTAACCAAGATACTAAGGTAACTTCCTCCTGCAGCCGAGCTGATTGTTTCCTGACCTCATATAGAGCACCTCTACCTGAAGCCACTGGACACACTGGCCTCTAGTCTGTGTACCAATGCAGCAGTCTGTCAACACAACAGTGACATTCAACAGTTAACCAAGATACTAAGGTAACTTCCTCCTGCAGCCGAGCTGATTGTTTCCTGACCTCATTTAGAGCAGCCTCTAACCTGAGGCCACTGGACACACTGGCCTCTAGTCTGCGTACCAATGCAGCAGTCTGTCAACACAACAGTGACATTCAACAGTTAACCAAGATACTCAGGTAACTTCCTCCTGCAGCCGAGCTGATTGTTTCCTGGCCTCATATAGAGCAGCCTCTAACCTGAGGCCACTGGACACACTGGCCTCTAGTCTGCGTACCAGTGCAGCAGTCTGTCAACACAACAGTGACATTCAACAGTTAACCAAGATACTAAGGTAACTTCCTCCTGCAGCCGAGCTGATTGTTTCCTGACCTCATATAGAGCACCTCTACCTGAAGCCACTGGACACACTGGCCTCTAGTCTGTGTACCAATGCAGCAGTCTGTCAACACAACAGTGACATTCAACAGTTAACCAAGATACTAAGGTAACTTCCTCCTGCAGCCGAGCTGATTGTTTCCTGACCTCATATAGAGCAGCCTCTAACCTGAGGCCACTGGACACACTGGCCTCTAGTCTGCGTACCAATGCAGCAGTCTGTCAACACAACAGTGACATTCAACAGGTAACCAAGATACTAAGGTAACTTCCTCTTGCAGCCGAGCTGATTGTTTCCTGACCTCATATAGAGCACCTCTACCTGAAGCCACTGGACACACTGGCCTCTAGTCTGCATACCAATGCAGAGTTTTGTCTGTCAACACAACAGTAACATTCAACAGTTTACCAAGATAGTAAGTAAACTGTTGCAGTTTTCTTGTATGTTCTTGGTATATTTTGATTAAATGTATTTATTTCAGGCTAAACTATTACCAATTTATTAAAAAACTAATTGGGACCGAACACTGATTTGATCAGCTAATTGTGTGGATTAGCCAAAATAATTTTAATAATTTAGAATGAAGCAATTAACAGATTTGTAGTGCTATGAACTTGTTATATGCATTAGCACCTCAATTATCAGTGGAGGGGATCAACTGTGCCCTCTAAAATTACTTTTCATAACCTTACTGAGAACATTTTTCATATTGTTTCTACATAAATATTTGTTTCAGCCCATTCATTATACATGGGATTAAAGACAGATATGCACTGGCTTCATTATTGTTTTTTTTTTCGTCATAGGTAACCCGTTGAATGCATGGATCAAAGAAAACCAAAGAAAGAATAAAAGAACAAGGATTAAGTGAATGTTGGAACCTGTGTTCGGACTAGCGGGACTCAAGTGAACAGTACTATATTATAGTATGATTCTATAAAAAAAAGTATTTTATAGTTAAGTTCACCTCAGTCATTAAAGCGACAGATTTGCTTTGTAGTTCACTGTTTTCTGAAATCAGCTGATTTATTCTGTCTCTAAAGTACAGCTTTACTGCTTCTTCCCGAGATTCCACCTCTCTTGGTAGATTCACAGGTATGTCTAATGACCCAATCTGAAACAAATCCCAATTATAGAGGATGACCATGACTGATGATACCAATACTGCTAAAAAAGATTGCATTTCACAACGTCCAGTGGTATAGTTCAATGTCGCATTGTGCAAAATAACATTTTTGAGCTGTTTCACAACGTCCAAATGTCACCATGACCAAGTACAGTAACTGCAATAAACATAGACTTTCTACAAGCTCTGGACGTCATGAGATTGGTTGTTGTGAAACAGCACACATTACACTCTTAAAAAAGCAGCTGATTCACCACGTCCAAGGCCGCTGCCAGTTGCTCAACGTCCAATAGCTAAGCGCTGTCTCACGACATCCAAGGAGCTTACATTACTGTCTGTAGTACATACTAACCTAACCTAACTTAACCTTATCTAGCCTTGCTCCATATGCATTAGCTCTGGACGTTGTGCAACAAGGCTTGACATCGTGCAACTGGCAGCGGCTTTGGACGTTGTGCTACTGCCATGTTTGGAAGTTCGAGTCATCAAAAGAGATTTTTTCATCCCTTGGTGAGCAATTACATACAATTTTGGATAAAATTCATAATTTAACTAACTATAACAATCTATGAATTAAATCATTCATAAAAAGTACAAACACTGTTTTCCAATTATAAATTATAATTTAAATATTATTAAGACTATTTTTGTAATTATTTTTTCACATCTTATGAATACAACAATTTAATCTAAGATCTATATATAAATAATAAACGGTCTCAGCATTCTGACACATACTTTCTCCCATAAGCTCGTCAAAAACCTTTATCATGGGTAAGCGCCCAAGCAGTGGGAGTAAACATGATATTTTATAGGTAAAAATCACAAAATTTGCAATTCCATAACTCAAGAACAAGTGCATCCAATTGGATGATTTTTTGTTGTTGTGTTCCTTAGTGCCAGGGGAAGGGTTTTATATCAGGAAATTTAACTGACCAAAAAATTACAACTAATAAATCTTATCCTCACCATGTTAGTGACAGTACTGTTGACTAGACTGGGATATTCATCATCCTTGACTATCTCTTTCATTTCCTGCAAGATACATTTTTAGATTAAAACCTTAAAAAAATATACTTCTTGGAATCAAATTATGTATATTTTAAATAATATAATAAAGTAATAAGTAAAAAAATAATTAAACTTGTTGAGGAGACACAAATTAGATTTCTGCATAAATTTAAAAATATTCTGTGTTGTAAACTTCTAGTAAGATACACTTTATAGCGATTCAGTTTAAATCTTCTGGTAGTAGAACTCAGGTTAGGTGATTACCATAGTAACCACAAATGTACCAAGACATATCTTGGCTTGTTATAAGAAAAAAAGAACCTGGCTGACGGCCCTTCCGGCCAATGCCTAAAGTGTTTCTTTTGGCAGATGCCCTGCGTGGTATCTGGAAATTTAAATAAAAGCAGCAATAAAGCACTATTTCATTCATTCATATAAGAAAAAGAGATAATAATTTCATTAGGAACAAAATTAATGTAAATTGCAATTGAAATATTTTACTTGACATTTACAATACCCTAACCAACTTCAATTTTGGATCCTGCACTCAGAGGTGTGCAAGCGGCTCCACATTTTTATGTTAATGTTGCTCTACAACTAACATCTGACACCAATACAGTAGAGTACCGCTATTACAAAATAACTGGGAGTGAACCCTCTTAGGATTAGGATGAATTAAGTATTATAGGGTGTCTAGTTTATTTCCATTATGAAATTCAAGACTAATTCCAGACTTTTCAAGACTAATTCCAGATTTTTCAAGACTAGTTTTTTCCACAATTAGTGGGTGTTGATACCAAAATGTATCGATTCTCGATTCTTGATACCGATACAAATTTTTATAGCTTTTTCTAACAAAATTTTCTAAATAATACTACACCAACTCTTTGTCTTTGTCATAAAGTAGTATTATGATAATGTGGTGTTTTCAAGTAAAGAAATAATGCAGCAATAACAAATTCTAACTAGCAAATTTGGTTTTTTTTAAGATATTCTGCATACCGTACGTTTAGACATCATCATTGACTGCAGCGGCTACAGAAACGTGATCGTCGTCATCCGCAATCACGGCAAAATCATGAACATTTCCCGCGGCCGTGTATACATCATCGTCGTCTCCCGCGGTCACGGAAACTTCATCGTCATCTCCCGCGGTCACGGAAACGTCATCGTCGTCTCCCGCGGTCACGGAAACGTCATCGTCGTCTCCCGCGGTCAAGGAAACGTCATCGTCGTCTCCCGCGGTCACGGAAACGTCATCGTCATCTCCCGCGGTCACGGAAACGTCATCGTCATCTCCCGCGGTCACGGAAACGTCATCGCCGTCGTCCTCGATCGCGGCAAAATCATGAACATTTCCCGCGGCCGTGTAGACATCATCGTCGACTCCCGCGGTCACGGAAACGTCATCGTCATCTCCTGCGGTCTCGGAAACGTCATCATCATCTCCCGCGGTCACGGAAACGTCATCGCCGTCGTCCTCGATCGCGGCAAAATCATGAACTTTCCCCGCGGCCGTGTAGACATCATCGTCGTCTCCCGCGGTCACGGAAACGTCATCGTAGTCGTCCGGGATAGCGGCAAAATCATGAACATTTCCCGCGGCCGTGTAGACATCATCGTCGTCTCCCGCGGTGACGGAAACGTCATTGTCGTCGTCCGGGATCGCGGCAAAATCATGAACATTTCCCGCGGCTGTTTAGACATCACCGTCATCTCCCGCGGTCACAGAAACGTTATCGTCGACGTCCGCGATCACGGCAAAATCATGAACATTTCCCGCGGCCGTGTAGACATCATCGTCGTCTCCCGCGGTCACGGAAACTTCATCGTCATCTCCCGCGGTCACGGAAACGTCATCGTCGTCGTCGGCGATCGCGACAAAATTATGAACATTTCCCGTGGCCGAGCAGATATCATCGTCGTCTCCCGCGGTCACGGAAACGTCATCGTCGTCTCCCGCGGTCACGGAAACGTCATCGTCGTCTCCCGCGGTCACGGAAACGTCATCGTCATCTCCCGCGGTCACGGAAACGTCATCGTCATCTCCCGCGGTCACGGAAACGTCATCGCCGTCGTCCTCGATCGCGGCAAAATCATGAACATTTCCCGCGGCCGTGTAGACATCATCGTCGACTCCCGCGGTCACGGAAACGTCATCGTCATCTCCTGCGGTCTCGGAAACGTCATCATCATCTCCCGCGGTCACGGAAACGTCATCGCCGTCGTCCTCGATCGCGGCAAAATCATGAACTTTCCCCGCGGCCGTGTAGACATCATCGTCGTCTCCCGCGGTCACGGAAACGTCATCGTAGTCGTCCGGGGTAGCGGCAAAATCATGAACATTTCCCGCGGCCGTGTAGACATCATCGTCGTCTCCCGCGGTCACGGAAACTTCATCGTCATCTCCCGCGGTCACGGAAACGTCATCGTAGTCGTCCGGGATAGCGGCAAAATCATGAACATTTCCCGCGGCCGTGTAGACATCATCGTCGTCTCCCGCGGTCACGGAAACGTCATCGCCGTCGTCCTCGATCGCGGCAAAATCATGAACATTTCCCGCGGCCTTGTAGACATCATCGTCGTCTCCCGCGGTGACGGAAACGTCATTGTCGTCGTCCGGGATCGCGGCAAAATCATGAACATTTCCCGCGGCTGTTTAGACATCATCGTCGTCTCCCGCGGTCACGGAAACGTCATCGTAGTCGTCCGGGATAGCGGCAAAATCATGAACATTTCCCGCGGCCGTGTAGACATCATCGTCGTCTCCCGCGGTCACGGAAACGTCATCGCCGTCGTCCTCGATCGCGGCAAAATCATGAACATTTCCCGCGGCCTTGTAGACATCATCGTCGTCTCCCGCGGTGACGGAAACGTCATTGTCGTCGTCCGGGATCGCGGCAAAATCATGAACATTTCCCGCGGCTGTTTAGACATCATCGTCGTCTCCCGCGGTCACGGAAACTTCATCGTCATCTCCCGCGGTCACGGAAACGTCATCGTCGTCGTCGGCGATCGCGACAAAATTATGAACATTTCCCGCGGCCGAGCAGATATCATCGTCGTCTCCCGCGGTCACAGAAACGTCATCGTTGTCTGCCGCGGCTACGGTAACGTTATCGTCGTCCCCAGCGGTCACGGAAAGGTCATCGTCGTCGTCCACTATCGCGGCAAAATCATGAACATTTCCCGCGGCGTGTAGACATCATCATCGTCTCCCGCGGTCACGGAAACGTCATCGTCGTCGTCGGCGATCGCGACAAAATTACGAACATTTCCCGCGGCCGAGCAGATATCATCGTCGTCTCCCGCGGTCACGGAAACGTCATCGTCGTCTCCCGCGGTCACGGAAACGTCATCGTCGTCTCCCGCGGTCACGGAAACGTCATCGTCATCTCCCGCGGTCACGGAAACGTCATCGTCATCTCCCGCGGTCACGGAAACGTCATCGCCGTCGTCCTCGATCGCGGCAAAATCATGAACATTTCCCGCGGCCGTGTAGACATCATCGTCGACTCCCGCGGTCACGGAAACGTCATCGTCATCTCCTGCGGTCTCGGAAACGTCATTATCATCTCCCGCGGTCACGGAAACGTCATCGCCGTCGTCCTCGATCGCGGCAAAATCATGAACTTTCCCCGCGGCCGTGTAGACATCATCGTCGTCTCCCGCGGTCACGGAAACGTCATCGTAGTCGTCCGGGATAGCGGCAAAATCATGAACATTTCCCGCGGCCGTGTAGACATCATCGTCGTCTCCCGCGGTCACGGAAACGTCATCGCCGTCGTCCTCGATCGCGGCAAAATCATGAACATTTCCCGCGGCCTTGTAGACATCATCGTCGTCTCCCGCGGTGACGGAAACGTCATTGTCGTCGTCCGGGATCGCGGCAAAATCATGAACATTTCCCGCGGCTGTTTAGACATCACCGTCATCTCCCGCGGTCACAGAAACGTTATCGTCGACGTCCGCGATCACGGCAAAATCATGAACATTTCCCGCGGCCGTGTAGACATCATCGTCGTCTCCCGCGGTCACGGAAACTTCATCGTCATCTCCCGCGGTCACGGAAACGTCATCGTCGTCGTCGGCGATCGCGACAAAATTATGAACATTTCCCGCGGCCGAGCAGATATCATCGTCGTCTCCCGCGGTCACAGAAACGTCATCGTCGTCTGCCGCGGCTACGGTAACGTTATCGTCGTCCCCAGCGGTCACGGAAAGGTCATCGTCGTCGTCCACTATCGCGGCAAAATCATGAACATTTCCCGCGGCGTGTAGACATCATCATCGTCTCCCGCGGTCACGGAAACGTCATCGTCGTCGTCGGCGATCGCGACAAAATCATGAACATTTCCCGCGGCCGTGTAGACATCATCGTCGTCTCCCGCGGTCACGGAAACGTCATCGTCGTCTCCCGCGGTCACGGAAACGTCATCATCGTCTCCCGCGGTCACGGAAACGTCATCGTCGTCGTCGGCGATCGCGACAAAATTATGAACATTTCCCGCGGCCGAGCAGATATCATCGTCGTCTCCCGCGGTCACGGAAACGTCATCGTCGTCTCCCGCGGTCACAGAAACGTCATCGTCGTCTGCCGCGGCTACGGTAACGTTATCGTCGTCCCCAGCGGTCACGGAAAGGTCATCGTCGTCGTCCACTATCGCGGCAAAATCATGAACATTTCCCGCGGCGTGTAGACATCATCATCGTCTCCCGCGGTCACGGAAACGTCATCGTCGTCGTCGGCGATCGCGACAAAATTATGAACATTTCCCGCGGCCGAGCAGATATCATCGTCGTCTCCCGCGGTCACGGAAACGTCATCGTCGTCTCCCGCGGTCACGGAAACTTCATCGTCATCTTCCGCGGTCACGGAAACGTCATCGTCGTCGTCGGCGATCGCGACAAAATTATGAACATTTCCCGCGGCCGAGCAGATATCATCGTCGTCTCCCGCGGTCACAGAAACGTCATCGTCGTCTGCCGCGGCTACGGTAACGTTATCGTCGTCCCCAGCGGTCACGGAAAGGTCATCGTCGTCGTCCACTATCGCGGCAAAATCATGAACATTTCCCGCGGCGTGTAGACATCATCATCGTCTCCCGCGGTCACGGAAACGTCATCGTCGTCGTCGGCGATCGCGACAAAATCATGAACATTTCCCGCGGCCGTGTAGACATCATCGTCGTCTCCCGCGGTCACGGAAACTTCATCGTCATCTCCCGCGGTCACGGAAACGTCATCGTCGTCGTCGGCGATCGCGACAAAATTATGAACATTTCCCGCGGCCGAGCAGATATCATCGTCGTCTCCCGCGGTCACAGAAACGTCATCGTCGTCTGCCGCGGCTACGGTAACGTTATCGTCGTCCCCAGCGGTCACGGAAACGTCATCGTCGTCTCCCGCGGTCACGGAAACGTCATCGTCGTCTCCCGCGGTCACGGAAACGTCATCGTCATCTCCCGCGGTCACGGAAACGTCATCGTCATCTCCCGCGGTCACGGAAACGTCATCGCCGTCGTCCTCGATCGCGGCAAAATCATGAACATTTCCCGCGGCCGTGTAGACATCATCGTCGACTCCCGCGGTCACGGAAACGTCATCGTCATCTCCTGCGGTCTCGGAAACGTCATCATCATCTCCCGCGGTCACGGAAACGTCATCGCCGTCGTCCTCGATCGCGGCAAAATCATGAACTTTCCCCGCGGCCGTGTAGACATCATCGTCGTCTCCCGCGGTCACGGAAACGTCATCGTAGTCGTCCGGGATAGCGGCAAAATCATGAACATTTCCCGCGGCCGTGTAGACATCATCGTCGTCTCCCGCGGTCACGGAAACGTCATCGTCGTCTCCCGCGGTCACGGAAACGTCATCGTCATCTCCCGCGGTCACGGAAACGTCATCGTCATCTCCCGCGGTCACGGAAACGTCATCGCCGTCGTCCTCGATCGCGGCAAAATCATGAACATTTCCCGCGGCCGTGTAGACATCATCGTCGACTCCCGCGGTCACGGAAACGTCATCGTCATCTCCTGCGGTCTCGGAAACGTCATCATCATCTCCCGCGGTCACGGAAACGTCATCGCCGTCGTCCTCGATCGCGGCAAAATCATGAACTTTCCCCGCGGCCGTGTAGACATCATCGTCGTCTCCCGCGGTCACGGAAACGTCATCGCCGTCGTCCTCGATCGCGGCAAAATCATGAACATTTCCCGCGGCCTTGTAGACATCATCGTCGTCTCCCGCGGTGACGGAAACGTCATTGTCGTCGTCCGGGATCGCGGCAAAATCATGAACATTTCCCGCGGCTGTTTAGACATCACCGTCATCTCCCGCGGTCACAGAAACGTTATCGTCGACGTCCGCGATCACGGCAAAATCATGAACATTTCCCGCGGCCGTGTAGACATCATCGTCGTCTCCCGCGGTCACGGAAACTTCATCGTCATCTCCCGCGGTCACGGAAACGTCATCGTCGTCGTCGGCGATCGCGACAAAATTATGAACATTTCCCGCGGCCGAGCAGATATCATCGTCGTCTCCCGCGGTCACGGAATCGTCATCGTCATCTTCCGCGGTCACAGAAACGTCATCGTCGCCTGCCGCGGCTACGGTAACGTTATCGTCGTCCCCAGCGGTCACGGAAAGGTCATCGTCATCTCCCGTGGTTTCGGAAACGTCATCGTCGTCGTCCACTATCGCGGCAAAATCATGAACATTTCCCGCGGCGTGTAGACATCATCATCGTCTCCCGCGGTCACGGAAACGTCATCGTCGTCGTCCGCGATCGCGACAAAATCATGAACATTTCCCGAGGCCGGGAGGACAATCATCATTGGATTGCACGGTTACGTAAACGGAAGACGACAATCGCGGCAAAATCATAAAAATTCCCGACTTTGAAATCAAATTTAAGACTAAATCCCGACTTTTCAAGACCATTTTGAAATTCAATACTAATTCCCGACTTTCCCGATTTTCCCGACTACTAGACACCCTGGTATTAGCTGATTTATTTTAGTTTTTTTTTTATTTCGCTAAGTTGTTGTTTTTACAATCACATTAAGAGTGTGCAAAGATGCACTGCCAACAATTCTGCTGCGATCGCGGGTGATTCAAATGGTCAATGATGATGTCTCGGCGAACGCGGATCGCCGTGACCACGGAAGGGGTTCTCAAATCCAGGTTAGCTTTGATCTAACGTTTTGAAAACAAAAATTCAGTTCAAAATAGGGGGACTTTCAAAATAGTAGAGTTCGGATTGGGGGGACTCTATTGTACTCATACCTTCTGATATCGTAGTTGCAATAGCTGCAGCTCCTGTCTCCACATGTCTCTCTGCTGCTCTGCCACTACCAGTTGATGTCTGTTTTCCTCCAACTGTTGTAATAAAGCCTGCCTCAACTGACTACTGTTTGCAGCCTCCTCATGATCCTTCAGAGCTTGACTGTATGGTATTGACGGAGCTTCATCCTGAAAAATAAAATACAGCCATAAAAAATATGTTCAAATACTGTTAAATAAATGGGTCTGGTGTTGCTGTTCCTTAAGACAGCCACATTTTTGCATGCAAAATAATAAATCCAAATTTTGCGAGAAATAGTATACTACATTACTAGTTCTGAAAATAGGTGTTTACCGGACAAGTGTGGTCGACGTACGATATTTTACGCCATACTACTTAGCTAACGTAAAAAAATATAAAAAAACTACAAATTACCACCTATTAAAGGACTAACAATCACCACTCATAACCTCTAGGAGTCTTTTAATTAAGATACCTAGTTGATAATTTTTATAGTCTTACAAATAAAATATACCATAGTTAAAAAATAATTCACTTCTATCCCCCTCAATAAATTGCTCACATGAGTATTTATGGCAGGCATAAATAATAATATAAAAAGAAAATACCCAGCGAGTTTTAAATAGTCATCTTAATATGCCTCTAATATACTCCTAAAATATCAAAGCATTGTTAGGCCCAAGTCTTACAATATTCTACGGTGCAGATCCAATTGCTAGGTATATTTCTCCCCAAAGTCTAAATTTAATAACATTACATATTACATGTAAGGCTAAGTCTCACTGTGTGTATGGCATTGATGTAGTGGACACCCCTTCTCCTCATATCAGTCACAGCGGGGTGGGGAGGCTGCATCGTGTCGGCTACCTTCCATAACTCTTGAAGACACTTGGCAATCTGAAGTGAGGACCAACATTTAGTTGATAGAAAATAATTATTAAATGTTTCATAGTAGGGGGGCAATTTTGGGAATGTCTTTAATAAAAATACAGTTTTAGCTTATTTTTAGACTTCAAAGTGCTGATATGTTGTGCGTACTCCCCCCCCCCCCCCCAAAGTTGGTCACGGGACACTCATTTTAATGTGTTTTTAAAAATTCACTTGCACATTTTGATCTTTTACTAAAATAGTAGTAAATCTTCCTTATCCTTAATTTAATAACCCTCCCCCTCCTTCCTTCCAGTGTTGAAAGGAAAAGGTCTATACAAAAGGTTTATACAAAATACAATGATTTTTTTTCTTCACAAAATCGCTAAAACTTAAAAACATTATTTTATTTACAAATTTTTTTGAATGAAAAATTATTTTTGGACGCGTTGCAGAAAGTCAACAGTCCCGGAAGGTCAAATAATTTATACCTGTGCCGCTAGGTCAAAAACTACAATGTTTGCAGTGTCTGTAGATCAAAAATCCCAGAAAGTCAAATAGTACATTCCGGGCTAAAAGTTTAGTCTATGTTAAAGCAATTGACTTATTGGGAATTTGACTTAATGCAACAGCAGTTTTAATATAACGAAATAAGATCAAATATAAGTTCAGTTTCGCTGAGTCAACAGTGCCGGAAGGTCAAAAGTATAATCTGTTAAAAACAACGATAGTCCTCTCGACGCATGTCTTCAATAATTTCGTGTTTTGGTGTTCTTAAAGTTGTGCTAAAATTTTGAAATTTGGCACAGAGCTTCTTGGTTAGTCCTACTCGATGACTATTTTGTTGGAACTTTTAACTCTTTACCGATCTAATTAATAAAAAATGATTTGTATGGTGAAATAGTTTTAAATTGTGATTTCTAACATGAAAAAGTTAGCATGCGAGATTTTTTTTTGTTTTTGGGTCAGAGAGGTTTTGTCTGTGGCAAAGTTGTAGCCAAAAGTGTGATGCGTAAAATATATTTTTTTGAATTTTTTACAATCAGTGGTTCAGTAGATAACTTAGGTTGAAGAGGACGGCAAATTTAGCATTTCGCAACGCATGGAAAGAACTGCATCGTACGATGCGACTGCTGAGTGGACTTTTAATTTATCTAATTTAATTTATCTAAGGACAAGAAAAAGGTGAATATACAGATCACCAGTACATTTATATTATTTATAAAACATCTTTCTTTATTACCAGCTAACATTTTTCACTTATAAGAATACATCATAAACAGGGTGTTAAAATAAGCGGGGAGATACTTTACCTAGTAATTCCTTGGGTCAAAATAAACAGAAAATCAAGGATAACATTTTTTTCAAAATCATTTCGTTAACCAGATATCCGCCATTTTGTATTTTTTACATACAAATATTTATCTTTGCACTTTTCCAACCGATGTTTATCAAACTTGGTATGTATGTTAAGGTAGGAGAGACCCATGTTATAAACAAAGATTCATCTCGATTCACCCTAAAATTTCAAAATTTAACACTTAACTACAATATAATATACTCTACTACACCACAATATTTACGTATCACCATAAATCTTTAACAAAATAAAACGTTAACATTTTTAAAATCCAAAGTAAATCAATATAATATTTCTTTTTTGAAAAATATATTTAAAAAACAGGCGATGGTAAAATAACGACAGGCGAGTTTCGATCTGGGTGTTTCAGGTTTGAATCTAGGAGGATTTAACATTAATTAACATTAATGTTTAATCCTCCTAGGTTTGAACTGATTGAGAGGAATACATGAAACCGAAGGGGGGAGGTAGCAACAAGTGCACTAGTATTTACTAGTGTCCAATTACAATTTGATGGATTTAACCAAAACCTTTTCTATTTCACTTATTTTCAGCTGTTAAATTTCAAACGATACGTTTTAGCGACATCATTAACGTTATTATCATCATCCTCGTTTGAGTTTGGGTTTGCAGCAATGTATTTTTATGAATAAAACCTTTAATTTGATACCAAACTTGACCTCTGCTGCTATTAATTGACTGTATGCACTATTAATTAACAGCTGTGTCTAAGGATTATGTCGGCCTTAGTCACAAACAGGACAACAAGATCGCTCCACTCATCCCACACTCATCTCCATTCATACTTGGCTTAAAATGCATACATTTTGTATGGTCGCCATTTCAAAGCAACATGGCTACATTATCAATGACAAACGTGGAAAACCTTATACGAGTGTGAGTAAGTCCGAAAACAGAGTAAGTCCGAAAACAACTCTAAAAAACAATAAGCAATAAATTGCAAGAACCGTTGCTTATATCATTGGGTATACACGTATGTACTGACGAGTATACTCAATGCTTATATCGAATGAATGTGCATCGTGAGAATTTCCATTAGTTGTTCCATTTAGTTGTGTGTCCATTAGTATAATAGTTTAGTTGACTCTTTTAAAGTCAGCGGAAATTGTGACTGTTATTACCCTTGAAATAATGTTTGTGTAGTACTTTGCAATCCTACCAATGCTTATAGAATCATACGATTACAATTTTCTGGCTAGAATATGTCGCATAGAGTGGTGACTACTGTATCTTTTTGGTTTGCTTGTAAAACAGGATCAACAGAGATTTTCCATCGACTTAAACAATACGATACTCTCAAATTGTTCATTGCTATAACAAACTATCACACAGTTTGATGAATATTTGTGTGTAAACCACATACAGTACACCTGTAGTCTATCTATTTTTCCTTTTATTTTTCCAAGACTATATAGAAAATCACACATTACGTGATCAGTGAAGAAAGGTGTCAACCTTGTTTTATAGGTAAAGAAGAACACTGCTTCATGTCAGAGCATTCAGTTATCATCAGCAATTAATTGTAATTCCCGAATCAGTAACTGAATCAATAGTCAATTATGATAGGGTTTGTTGATTATTTATAATGCACTTTACATGCTCCATTTGATAGTTTATAATAATTTACTCGGAATCTATAAGACACCTTTGGCTTGTAATAAATACAATTATTTTCAACTAGCTTGTAACCGCGCTTCGCAACGGAGAGGACACTAAAGCGAAAAATTTGATCTTGAACTCTGTTGTATGAAATAGTTACACGTTCCCCGTTGTTTTCTGGAACATAACTCAATTGAAACTCTTAGTTTGAAAAAATATCTTTCTTTAAGGCTAGGCTAGTTAGAAAGATGTTTTTTCTATAAGTTTATAAGGCTAGGAATGATATGAGGCGCTGATGGAAATAATATACCCTTATGATTCAATTTTCAAATGATAAGCTTACTTATTTATTTCAAAATTATCTTTGTTAGCTAGTGTTGAGAGTGGTAAATCACTATACTTTTAACGTTATATTATTGTTAATGTATTTGCTTATTTTTCTACTTTTGAAACAGACTGTAAATTAAATAAAGTTGAAACCCGATTAAGCTACAACCCATTTAATAGTATATTTCGTACCTAGGGCCAAAAATAAGGTTTTCAGGCTCGAGATAGTTTTTAAGTTCTCGACTTCGTCTCGATCGAGAGCTGCAAAACCATTTCGGTCCGTGGTACGAACGCTATTTTGCACCACACTATACCCTATTGCCACTATTCACCTCTATAATAATGCACACTGATGGTCAACACAACTACAACTTTAAGGTTATGTGAAGAAATAATTCAAGGAATCAGCAAAAATAAAAATAAATAGTTGCTAGGCAACGGTGACAATAAAATAATTCTATGGATACTGATTGTGTATTTAATATGCATTCATGTTTTAAGTAAGTAAGCGGGCAGCTAATTTTGCGGCCCTAGGGACCAGCGACCACAGAATTAAAATTAAAATTTTAATTCTAATTCTGTGGTCGCTGCTAGGGACCTGCTCGGTCCCCGAATAACGATGACTGCTGGCATGGCCAGCAAAACGTAACTTTCAGCCACCAATTAACGTATGTAAAACCACTAAAACATCATAGTGTGGTGAAAAAAATTATACATACTTTCGATACATGCGATTGCATACAATCGAAGCTCACAACTGAGTTTAAATCAGCTGACTTTCACTTCCTAGGGAGAAAAGAGTGAAAAGACCTACTTTAAGCTCACTAAATACGGCTGTTTTTGCTGCAGTATGACTCAGCGTTTGCAGTATGCTTCAGTGTTTTAATAAATATTTGATAGTTAATTTGTCGATAGTGTAATGCAGGTTAATCTTATATAATTCATTACAATGATCAACCACCAAACCACATACTTCAGATTCAGTTAAGCCTAAAATTATTCAAAGATCCCGTGGGTGAACATAGGTGGGTACCAAAAAGATATTTTTTAGATTTTAAGATGAAAAATTAACTGATGAAGAAGCGGATGAAGCAACAGTCTGATCCAGAGTTAAGTTCACAAGAACAGTGGGAATGAAGCTAGTAATTAAGTCTAGTAATTAACGGTAGTATACAAAATACGAAACGTGACATTGGATTGGGCCGTTGAGTATTTTGAATACAATAGGGGTACTCGTCAAACAGTTAAATATTATTATTTCTATGAATTTAATGGGTAACTTTAAAAGATTAGGTGGAATTTCTAACAATACTTCACCGTAATCAGCAGCAAACATACATAAGGAATTCCAGTTATTACAACAGACGCTCTGACAGCCCATCAACATAAGACCTGCAGACGGGTCAACGAATATGCTGAAAAAATAACGAGATAAGTGAGTGTTAAAGTGACTATTTATATCCGGTCGTCATACGCCACGAGACATTCCGTCAGTGAATGGGAGGCCCACACAAGGGTGAAGATCGATAACGCGCTGCATTTGGAATGGAATAAATTGCACAGGTCCTCGAAAAAGTACTAAATTCTCGAGTCCCGAAAAAGTCAAGTCCCCAAAATGTCTTATACACTTACATATATATGAATTTGAACGGATGGTGTTTTTGGCCTCTAGGGACTCGAAACGAAAAATTACATCGGTCCCGGGTCCAGGTGTTCCCATGAGTTATACGGTAATAGCTTATTCCCTATATGCGAAATTCGCTAAAAACCTAATAATTCTATAGAATAACAAGCTGTACCCACTGGCTTTGCCCCGTTAAACTAATTAATTTTCAAGATTAGCTCGTTCGCATGGCTCAATCACGTCCTGGTTGAAGTTCGTTCGCTACGCTCTCTCACCTTTAGGTTGGAGCTCGTTCGCTGAGCTCACTTGCCTTGGGGTTAACTCACCTCCAGGTTGAAGTTCGTTCGAAACGGTCACTCACCTTTTGGTTGCAAATTAGCTGTTGTCATAAATTGTTAAATTGACACAGCTGTTATGATTCATTAATTCCTTTTAAATATGAAAAATCATAAGGTAAAATGGGAAACTCCAGAGCCACTGGGGCGGAGCCCGAATGCCCGATCATAATAAAAACTACTTAGTTTTCCTATTTAATGCCCAAAGAATCGGTGTATCGAATTTCAGCCTCATAGGTAAATGGGAAGTGGGAGAATTAGTGATGATGAGGGAGTGAGAGTGAGTGTGTCAGTGAGGGCTTTGCCTTTTATAAGTATACATAGCACATTCAACCAGCTGTTAGTTAAAACAAATCATATTGGACTAAAACAAATCGATGATTACAAAGAATACTTTAAAAAATAATTTGAACATCCTACTACTGTATTTTACTATGCACATTTAATTAATCTGCCATCCTCGTACCGAAGAATTAAATGTATCAATGGTCAGCATTACACATACATAGTATAAATAAGTCAACCATAAGTATGTATTTGAATTTTCTTCCAAATGCTGAATTTGTGTCACAAATGCTGAATGTTACAGCTGTTATGTTAAGCAAATTATATTGTACTAAAAGCTAGCTAGAGGCATTGACTTATTGGAGAAGGTTAGCATTGGCTGCTAGACTTTTTAAAAACTAAAACTTAATTTATAAAAAACTGGGACACTAATTTTAAATTATGGCTTTGAAATTATCTAGTTCTCAAAATTGTCTTTCTTTCAACATAAAACTAATGAAATCCATCGACTGGTTGATTCAGAATCGTGAAAAAACCCCATTTACGTTATAATAATATATATGATAGTTTGGACAGGTTTCAACCCTTCCGTGGCGTAATACATTTACACAGTTTATATGTAGACTACATTATAACTCATAAAATAGTTCTACAATTAAATGGATCTCCTTTTACAAACGTATATAATAACCAGAAATGTTCAGATCGTCCTTGCGTGTATTTTATGCCACAAATTTTGACGAAAGGCTTTTCATTACATAAACTATACCTATTTACAGTGTTGACCAAACAGTTGGCAAGAAGCATTAATAAATAAGCTATGTACCAAATATGATAATTTTAGCTCTATTCTAATTATGACAAAACACGAAGTAACTAAAAGCGAGTTTTGTTGGTGTAGTAAGCGTTGCAGGAGGTCTACTTTACACTGAATCGACGTTCACTTTTATTGCTTTTGATCTTCCGGCACTTTTGACTCAGCGAAACTGAACTTGTATTTTACCGTATTTCGTTATATTAAACCTGCTGTTGCATTAGGTCAAATTCCCAATAAGTCAATTGCTTTAACATAGACTAAACTTTTAGCCCGGACTGTACTATTTGACTTTCTGGGATTTTTGATCTACAGACACTGCAAACATTGTAGTTTTTGACCTAGCGGCACAGGTATAAATTATTTGATCTTCCGGGACTGTTGACTTTCAGCAACATTCCCTTATTTTTACCATAAACTTTATGACTTTTTTGGATTCCTTACTCCAATAGCTTTACAAATATGTAGATATCATTATTAGTAAATACATATATTATATAACCTTTTTACAACACAAACTAACACTGTACGGTTTTCAATTTTTTCGGTTCTCCCTTTGTTATAATATTACTCCCAAAAAACTTACGAAGAAAAAATTTTCCTAAAATGTTGTTTATTTCTATGTAGAGAATTAGATTGTCTACAAAATGTATACAATCAATTTCCCATAAAAATCTGTAGAAAAAATTTTACCCAAATTTTTTTTTTTTTTTTTTTAAATTTTAATGTTTTTTTTCCACTTTACCAAAAAAAAAAAAAACTTTTTTAATCATTATTATATTATTATTTCTAGAATATCCTATTCTTTCCGAACAAAAGGAATATGAGGTTGGCTAGGTTTACTTCTACGGTTGAATTTTTACGAGTTTTCAAAAAAGGTCTGCAAAATCGCCAAAATGGGTTGGCCATTCCACACTTCTAGCATTGGCCACTGCTAGGGTTAATCAAAATACCTATACTGTAACTATAAACAAGCAAACCACAACAGTTTACTTATTCTCTATAAGAATAACATTTTAAAATTTATTTTGGGGGAATTCATAATCTGTTTAATTTTCTCCATCACCAATAACCGGACGTTCGTTTACTGTTAATTTATAAAATAATCTAGAGACAATTTGCAAAATTTTATGTTTTGAGGGTCAAAAATGATGAACCCCAATTTTCACCCCATAAAACCCTGTTTCCATGGTTCAATCATGCTGGGTTGCAGTCTCGTTTGAATAAACAAAGCTTTACACATTTGTATGAAATTTCATCAAAATCGGACAATTTTACACGATCATTATAGTGCTAATAAAATATCTATGAATTTGGAACGGATGGTGTTTTTAGCATCAAAATGATTAAAGTAAATCGGTCTCAGGTCCAGGTCCTATCATGAGACAGGCCTAGCTTATTCCCTATTTTTAGGAAATTTGCTAAAATCCAATTAAGTAATCTACCTTGGCAGAAGATTCCATTAAAGATGAGATACTATTGGTAATGGATTGATTGGCTGTATTTAAATCTTCAGTTGCCCAATTTCTTTCTCCTTCTATTCCAGACTTGATAACATAAGCATTAAACAGATCTGAAAAATATTTATGTGCATTAAGCCCGTGTAAAATTATATGTTGTTATGTTGTTTAAAAATGTTATTATTTTTAGCCATAAATAAACTTTAGACACGTCTATATTCACCACTAAGCAGCATCTGATCATTTTTTTAAATATCATATTTTATAAAGATTCAATCATTGTAAATGTTAATTACTACTTTAACAAGACAAAGTCTGTTGCCCTCCATGAGATGTCTTACCTTTAAATGATTCTTGTAATAAAAGTGCCACACTGATCAATCCCCGTTGATGCTTCTGTTGAGCTTCAGCTGAGTGTTGCATGCTTTCTGAAACAAAAGGAAATATTTAAATATGCTTTTTCAGGCAGTTCGAGGAGAATAAACCACTTTAAAATTGTTACATTAAGAAAAACATTTAAAAAAAATTAAAGAGTTCAACTAAATGGAAAACTTTTCTTAATGCTGTAGTTGAAATATAAAACACACAAGATTATACCTTAATACCTTAGGAAAGAAAATTTAGCAGCAACCAAGAGCAATAATGACCATAACACTGAACAATTTCACCCACACTTGCAGCGGTTTCAGCCCTTACTCATCTGGTAGAGGTCTTGGCTCTAAATCACATGGGAAGATAATTTTGCAACTGAAATCGGCAACTAGTTGGACAAACTAGACGCCGGCATCCCGACCAATGTAGTTGGGTGGGACAGTGCCTACAGTGCAACTGCGATGCAACCACTTGAGGACCAGTCGGCAATCAGTCGTAAGCAAACGTATCTGCCAGTTGGAAGGTGATTTCAGTCGCCTGGTTTGAACAACTTTTCCAGCATTTTCGTGAATTGTAGAGGTTTGCGAAACATTCTAGTTTATGAAATAGTGATCAGAAGATGAATGTGTACCTACATTGATTAGGCCTATTTGTAACAATAGAAGGATGTAGCCCTACCCAATACCTTCTGCGTCCTTTAAGCTTTCTTCATTGTCTAAACAACATCAGTACTTCTTCATCACTACTGTTACTCATTTTAAACACAATACACAGTATCGTAATAACAAAATTAGCTCTCAATCACTGTCTCAACTCAACTACAATTATTTCAGTGGCGCCCATGTGCGGACGCAACGCAACTGCAATCGTAATCGCGTCACAAAACAGTTAGTTCAACTTTAGTTCAGTTTCAATCTTCCTGTGTGTCGACCACCTAACTTGACATGTAGGAAAAAATTCAACTTTACTACGGTATTTCAACCTTTAACAATAGAATATTTAGTGATGTTTTGTTATAATGTAAAAAATGTTTTGTGATGTGGATAGATATTTGCAAGTTCACTGTTATGGCTTGATCTTGATACTTACTATACAGAGCTATCCTTGAATTGATCTGCACAAAGTGGCTGACTAGCTGACTACAGTTGCCCAGGAACACTTCATTGCTTTCTCTCAACGTCTCATCCTTCGGGTCAACATTCTCCTCTTCTAAGCTGTAAATAAGAATAAGAACAATCCATTATTAAAAATGAATTAAGGAATTACACAGGAGATTCTGGAATTGGTAATGAATCTGAAGTAACGAAGTATGGAGAAGAGAATCCATTGGAGTCTGTTGTTTATGATGCATGTATTCAAATATGCTACTTTTCTAGGAACAGAAACAAAAGTTTTAACAATTTACCTTTTTAAAATCTTAAGATATGGTTACCAGCGCTATTTTCTTCACAAATCATCACATGTGAAGTATGACATGTATTTAAGGATAAACCCATGACTATTATTTGTGATCGGTGCGACATTGGAATCTTGGGTGTCATAGTGACCTTTTCCTGTGATTTCTATAACATTGCAAGACTACTTTCCTTGGGAAATTCCCTATAATTTTTCTAAGACTACGCACAAAACATTTGAATCAATGACAGGAGAGGAAAAAGGCCAGCTGTGCCAAATAATCATCGTACAATATGACCAAAAACTACTTTATCATTTACTTTTAAATCAAGTGTTTTAACTACAAATGCTTTCATCAATAGCTTCAGATATTGCATCAATGTAATGCCAACAACAATGTCAACAACTTTACATGCAAAATTGGCTTCTATGTTGAACATATTGATTACAATTCTCACCTTGACCTACCTCAGCCTTTGGTGGACCAGCATCGTCTCCACGTTGCTACAGTAAGTGCCAAACAAGCCGGGTAGCTTCTGGATCACTGTTTTACAGATCTTACTTGGGGACAGATTCTGTTCCAATTCTAAGGCCAACTCCCCTGTTTCTTTCAAGTGGCTTGCATACTGGAACAACAACATTTATACAGATTTATCCACCTAAAAAAATCAAATAAAACTTATGAACTGGATCAAATAAATGGGTGTGATCTGTTCAGAATCAAGCAATAACTAAAAAGTTAGACAATCAGTTAGAATATGTGGCTGAGACAAAGTAGGGAAGAAGTTTGATAGAAACAATAAAGGTCTTAAACAAAGTTGTTGAATGCTGTTCTAAGGGCCGGCGCACACTATCCCGACCACGACCGCGACTACGACTGGTCGGACACAACCAGTTTTACAATAGGAATAAATGGAACAGCGCGCACTAGTCGACTGGTTGGACCCTGGACGCACAACCAAAGTTTTCCAGTTTGGTCGGGCCCGACCCGCTGGTCGTTGCAGCCAAAAATAGCACACAATGTAATGGGACGACGCTAGTGATGTGCGATACGTATCGTATCGGAATATCGCGATACGCGAGGGACGATACGATATTTCGATACAATCGCCTAAAACGATTTGTATTTGTATTTGTATTTATATCGGCACATAGAGCGATACGATTCATGTCAAAACGATATTTTTAAGCTTTTTTTAGCGCATGCCGAGCAAACTGCAAAATCTGTACTCTGTGGATGTGTAGTTTGAAATAGGAGTTTTTGACGGATAGCGCTGGGTTCACAACGATATGGTAGGCATACGGTTAAGTATGGATCGTCGTAGTATGAAAACAACTACTATCGAATATCGTAAATCGATTGGCTTCCATAGCGCCAACCAACCAACCAAAACGTAAACAAACCAGTTTAGCTGCTAACTCATGTTTTCCAATTTTTATTTTATTAATAAAAATGTCATCGTATTTAATTATTAATTGTTTAATGTAAAATAGATTGTAAATAAACTTTGTTAAAAAAAACCAAACCAACCAACACCGACAGACAGAAGAGAGAAGACAAGAGATTACGAAAACTACTAGCACTAGCCTAAAAGGAGAGGAAAATATTTGATTTAATTTATTCCAACATTGTTCATCAGTTTCATGGTGCATAGTGCATTATTATGGAGGAAATATGCAAAGGTCATCTAAACGCTTTTAAAAGTAAGGGGGTGGTAATTTATCTGGCGTTAATTGCGCAAGTTACTGGAATATTAATTTTAAAATTCCTCCGTAATTTAAGTTCTTATATATTCATCATGCTGGTTATCAGCCTTACTGTAATTGGATAATAAACATTTTCATTGGCAAATTTTATGCCAGGTTCAGATATTATGTTGTACTTAATTATTTGCATTCACTCTCACTGTAATATTGTGAATAAAATTATGGCCTTCCGTCGTCAAGGCCACATTATGACGTTTGACAACAGACATAGGAGCTATAGGAGCAGCTGCAGCAGAAGGCACCAAGGCAATAGTTTACTATTCCACCATGAGTATGAGACAGCCGGTGCGGTGAGCCAGAGCCGATGCCGATACTAAAAGTCGATGTCTGTCATCCGGTAGAAAACAAGCTCGATATTTAACCGAATGCCTACCATATCGTTGTGAACCCAGCGCTATCCGTTTTTGACGTCTGTATTTTTGGTTTTTACTTGATAATGTACCAGTCCCATCCCAGTCCAGTCCATTTCCACTAGCGTGCTATCTAGCACTAGCAGAGTGTGGGAACTGTCTGTGGCAATTACATTAATGTATCTGCAATCCTAAAATGCTATGGGAAGGATAGGGAAACAGGTCCAAGACGTAGGGAGTTGTGAAGGAAGTAGTAAAGGCGAGCAGTGTGGAGTGTGGAAATGGATTAATGTATATGCAATACTAAGACTGTTTTCAGAGTAAACAAATGATTTTCCCCGAGCAAAGCTTGGTCCCCAGGTACTTATATAAATTTTCCGTTTCTAGGTTAGGTAGGGGAGGGGGAAAACGATACGATACGTATCGTTTTTCGATATTTTTGACGATACGATTCGCGTACCGCGATACAGACGCCCAATTCAATATGGCGATACGATATTTTTTCCGATACGTATCGTATCGCGATACGCGTCCGTATCGCCCATCACTAGACGACGCGCACTACCCCCAACTTCCCTCCAACCCGACCAGTACACCACTCATATACACTGCTTTTCTTCACTTCCTATACTCTGTCTCAATGAAGTGTCTTGTCCCCTGATTTCACCAGCGACTTTTCTATGTAAGTTATCAAAGCTTTTAACAGACATTCTTGTGTAATAAAAAAAAACCTGTCTTCATATTGACGTAGCTCTTCATAAAATGTTGCAAACTGCCCTTTTGTATACCTGACAGTTAACATTTGATGTACCCAGTATCGTTTCTTCTTCTGCTTAACGTACCTACGATACAAATGCATCACAGCAGCTACTTCTTCAACACTCTTGACACTGAAGTTTGTAAAACATTCTTTGCCTTGGTCGGGTCGTGCTCTGGTCGCATGGTGAACGACAACGACTGGTCGGGCATTTGGTCGTGGTCGTGGTCGGGATAGTACGCGCCCGGCCTAAGCCAAGCGTTTTCAGCAGAGCTAGGAGCGAATTGGTATAATATGTTGGGAATAACAGCACATGTAGCTTGCACTCAATTGGTTGAGGAGATGTTGTATTTTAGTTTTATATCTTTCTTTATTATTTTATATAATATCACTATTAAAATAACAAAAAGTAGGCCTTCACCTAATAATTTTTTACCAGCGGGCCAACAATTTCCTTTTGATGTTCTAAAATTTGCAATAATTTAGCTGAAAGTCTCACATTTACATCCTGTTTTTGGAAGACGTACAGTTTTCAATAAAACAACAGAGCAATTTAAAGCCCCAAAAGTTCCGGTTTAGCGAGTGTATAATTACTATAGTAATGGTCAAAACCAGAAATTTTGAAACTCATCACCGAAACTTTAAAAATCTTGAATCTGGAAGCCTAGCACACAACTTTTTTACTAGTCTGGTTAAAGCTACAAAAAATAAAGGTAGGCTTATGAAATGTTTATAATGCTATCAAAGCTGAAAGAAATTGGCCTCCTGGCCTTAACATAATAATATGAAAAACATCTAGGGGCCTAATGCACTTTTATAAAACAACATAATTTTTTATAAAAAACATACATTGATAATATAATGACATGAATTTGAGATCAATTCTTATACAAATCAAAAAGAAATTTTGAATCTAAAAAAACACAAATTTTTGGTAGATTACCGTATTGATTTGGTTATGTCACATCACTAATCTACTGTATGACTTTTTGTTAGATGAGCTCTCAAATACAGAGAAAGTTCTCTTTGAGATCCTCCTTGGTTTCTTGGATAGTTTGACCTTGAATTTAAATTGAACTTAAAACTGGCATAATCACATAGCCTGACCAAGAACATTAGATGATTGGCAGGAGTTGTCCTTTAGGATAGCCATTCTGTGTCAACCGCTCATTCCCTTGCTTTGATTGGTTCTCACCTTACTATGGACAGCAGAGTTGCCTGTAGGCAGAGTCTGCAGCCTATTCTCAGTGACCTTGTGCCACAGAGCCAGACTAGCTGCCATTTGCTGCAATGATGCTCTAAGGTCCTCTCCTAGCCCTGAGGTTAAATTGTCTTTTGTATCCATAACTTGGGGCACATTAAGACTGTTCAGTACGTCCTTCTCTAAGAAAAGAAACATAAAATAACAGGTTAAGTAGTAGTGATAAGGATGATTCTTAATATATGTAGGCAATACATTGTTAAGACCATTACAGTGATACCATGTGAATAGAAGCCTATAGCTATTTTAGTTGTGTACACAAGTGTATTTAACACAAAGAAATTTCGATTTTTGGTCTTAGGTTGTTACAATACCAATTCAAGACCAATTCATTACCAATTCAAACCAATTCTAACCAATACCAATTCAGCATTAGGTTGTGCCAATTCAAAACACATAAAAGGAAAATTAATGAATTTAGTCTATTTAACATGTTCGCTGAGGCCCACTAAATGACAAGCGTAGCCCCAGTAGGGCGCAGTGTCGAGAGTATCCGTTTGGCTTTCAAATATTTTGGTCTGACGAATCGCAAATGATGTGCGGTGAAGTTAGAGTTACGACGAGTGTCGACGTAGTTTGCTGAAACAATCACAGATAGCAGCACTGTCTGAACCAGCCGGTCCAATATTGTCAATAGGAGAGAGAAAAAACAGGACAAGTTGATTTCTAAGCTTACCAGAAGGGGATTTCACGGGGAAATTTACTACCAACATACACCGCAATAAAGCACATATTCCTAGCTAAACGCAGACATAAAAATACCCGTTCTTCCTGGTGTGCTGCTGCTCAGAAATGGAATGGAATGTAGGCCATGCCGGCATCTACCGGTGAGCATTCAGCGTGGCAGAAAGGACTAGAGCACTCACCGGTGAGTGGCCTGCAGAAAACGTGTTAAACCTTTGGTTAACTTTTTTGGAGTGTTACCACAAAGAATGAGAAGCATTACATTTTCATGTGTATTGATATTTACATTCAACCCTTCAAGACAATGTTACGAGTGTAGCTTGTCACGGTGTTTCACAACTGGGTGGCTCTGCTGCTAACCTGATGGCACTTGAGTAATTTGTTGAATTAACACCTAACTGGGACCATGGCGTTGTCCTGTAATCCAGCAACGTAAAGGTCACGAATTGGGGCATGATCTGTAGATCCGCAGTACTATCTCAATAAATAAATAGACAAATTTTTTAATTACAATACACAAGGCAAAAGTGGTTCGGGTTCCACTATAAACTGTAGGTCCCTTAGTTAGTTGCCATTGGCTGTATGGGCTATTAATTAACAGTCCTGTCTAAGGCACATGTTGGACTAAATCAGTAACAAGACAACAAGATCTTACCACTCATCTCCACTTGGCTTAAAATACCTAGACCTTCTTATGGCCGCCATTTCAGTTAAAAGTAATAAAAAGTATTAAGTATTCCTGACAGCAATAGTTTAGCATTCAGACTTTAGTGACACTCGTCCTGGTCAACCAGTGGTAACATGGTGGCTGGAGTTGACAATCTCGTAAAACTTTCAAACGTAGCTCTGAGGTCTTTCTACATGCATTGGTTTGATTCCTGCATGTATGAAATCCATATTAAAAGCTGTGTGGCTCAACCGTTAGAAGAGCCCACCAATAAAAATGTAGTGTTGAGTGGAAATTGACGGCATCAGTGAGATTAATAGGGTGAGCAGACAACACCTGTTTCTTGGTTCTTTTTACACTATTCTAAAGGAAAAGAACATTGATTTTTCCTGTTCTACATTAATTTTGGTTGATTAGGCCTATATGGACATATCTGTCAAAATACATACGCCCTAAAAGACATAAAAAACTAAATAAGAAAAAAATTGCATTGAAAAAATTCAAATTCGAAGGGTTGACTATTGTTAAATTTTTAGTTACTCAGTCCAATTTTGAAAAATAATATATCAAATTTTTCCTGACAAACTAGCAAGTTATAGGCCAAATTAAATTTTAAAGATAAGCTTGGATAATTTTATGATAATGAAGATGATAATCTTTCATTGTTAAACTACCTTGATATAAGAATAATATGCTGACTGTAGAAACAACAATTATCAACTTACTAGAATCGATGAAAGGTAGATGTGAGGATATAGTGGTATTGAGTGTGTTAACTTTGGCCTCCATCTTAGTCTTGTACTCAGCGTGAGTCTGCCTCAGCTGGGCCAGCTCATGGCTCACGTCGGACAGCTGTTGTTGGCCCTCACGCATGCAGCTCATCTCTCGCTCTAGCTTGGCTATTATTACTCGACTCTTCTCCTCACTCTCAGCTGAACTCTTCCTTAACTGAGATAACTCAAAGGTCACTTGATCCAACTGTGATGTGACGTTGGTCAATTCTTGTCTGTGCTGGTCCTCCTTTTCATTCATCTAACACATCACATTATTAGATGCAAGCAAACATACTCTAAGTATATAGAGTAACCATTCATAATTATAAATATATATATCTAGAGTTTGCTAAATATTATAAGTAACTCATTCACTAACAATGTGAGTTAGTTACATATTATCAAGAAAAGCTGCTACCGAATTTCATGTTTGAGAGTTTATACTACAATGTTGAGCGAGTAGCTAGATTTTTGAGAATTTTTAGCCAAACCGAGGCTAGCCTAAACGTTTGAGTGATCAAGCAGCAAATTAGAAAACCAAGGTGAGCCGAGCTCAGGGGTCACAATCCCAGGATTTTGGGGGTTGTCTGTCAGAGCTAATTCTGAATTCTATTATTTATTTTTTTCTAGGATTATATAATTTTAGGATTTTTAATTTGTAGCAATTTAAAAAGTTTTTAAACTGTCCTAACAAATTTTACACTGTGCACTTTTTATGTCTTTTAAATTTAAAACAGTACAACAGGGAAGTTTGACATCCACTGGAATTCAATATCGAGATATCAAGTCAGTTTCAAGTACCAACAAATCAACCAAACAAGAAATGTGTTGTTTTATTAACACATGCTTAATAAATATTTCAGAATAAAATAAAGCTCTACGCCAAGTTAACTACTCATAATATGCTTTTTAAACGGCTATATTTAAGCCTCGTTGCCAGGAGGATGAGTGGCCATTGAGCATGCACTAGGCCTGATGTCATACAACATGATGCACCAAAAACCGACCAACCAATCTTGGGAAAAACTTGTTTGACACAGTGGATAATGTCTCGGACACGTGTGGCAATCAGTGTGCTCTGATTTTAAAACATGGGTTTGTTTCACGCCAACATTGCTTGGACACAATATGTTCGACACCAGTGTAACTAGTAACCTCAGAGTTAACTAAAACATATATGTAATAGACAAATTTAAGCTTTAAGTATTTTATTTGACCGATGTTGAGGACTGTGCATATACCGTACACAAGGGTTGGCAATGTCTAACACCTTACCAATGATAGCAGCCGTGCATTTTCCTGTATTTTCTTTCTGAATTCCTCATCCAGGACATGGTTTGATATATCCAAAGGAGGTTGCCCATCTGGTATTTTTATTTTTCCTTTCTTATTTTTCATTTGAATCTGGAAGTACATACAATACAAATATATTAAATTAGAAATAACAGATGATTGTTATAGGCTACATGTCGTTACAGATAAAAGTCGCATAACCTAAATAAAAATAGAATAGACAAGCATAAGACTCTCTTTCGAGTGTACTGGATTGGACTGTCCATCGATGGCAAAAATACTTTATGGTGGGAATTTCGTTTCCGACTAACTATACTGGCCATGCAGCAAATTTATTGCTTTCATAGGCTGTATGATTTAAAATATCCTTTAGTTAACAATATGATGATCTTAACGATTTGGCTTGTATGAAAAATTGGTGTAGGTAAGTTAACAAATAGAGATCAGCAAGTTATATATATCAGTGCACTCTGTTGGAAGCTCAAGTCAATTACGTTCAGGTCAAAATACGTTCTGAAAGTAGTTAGCATATGGCAGTGGCGTAGCCAGGATCTTAGTTCGGGCGGGGTCCTCCCAAGTTGACTTTTACTCCCCAAGCTTAAGCCCTTTTTAAAAGGTGTTTTCCTGTTAGCAAATTTCCCTATAAGGAAGTAGCTATTACCGTAGGTGGCACGGTAAGACCTAGGCCCGGGACTGATTTACTTTTTCATTTTGATGTCACCAGAGGCCAAAAACACCATTTGTTCAGATGTTTATATATGTATTTATATATATATATATATACGTCCGTGAACACGATAACTTGAGTAATTTTTGCCCGATTTTGATAAAATTAGGTTTAAACGTGTAATGCGGGATAAACTTGAATGAGTTCGCCAACCAGCATGATCGGACCATGGGAACGGGGTTTTACGGGGGCTTTTATGGGGTAAAAAATGGTTTTTCTCATTTTCGACCCTCAAAACAAAAACATTTACCAATTTCTCTCTAGACCTTTTTAAAGAGATTAATAAAACAAATAATTTAGTATATCAAAGTGTTTGTATTTTATGGTTATTGGTAGTGGAAAAAATTCAAAAAAATTGTTAATTTAAAAAATTACCATGTTAACTTATTATTATGGAAAATATTGTCAAATGTTGTAGTTTGCTTGTTTATGGATATATTTTGATCAAACTTAGCAAATTTATAATTTAAGCTATTAATATTTTACAAAAAAATACACTTTATTAGTTTCCTTGTAGCAGCAAACCTAGGTAATCATTAAACCTAATGTTATTTAAATAGATTTAATTAAAAAACAATTCAGACAAATGGAAATTCGCTTTGTCGGCAGGTTTGCTGCGGTGGGGGTATTTTTATATCATTACCATTTTTATGTCTATTGCAAGTGTATTGTGGTGTTTGTGTGAGTGTGTCGTCGACCGTCTTAGTGTAGGAGGCCCAAGGTCAACTCGCCCGATGTGTCACGGGGAACCGAAATGTCCCGAGCTCTCTCGCATGACCAAGTCTGCCTTCACCAGTATTTCTAGTTTCTAGTACGGTGTGTATTTCTAGGGATGGACGGGTCCCGAAATTTCGGGAATTTTTCGGGAAAAAATATTCCCGATTATCGGGACGGGATTACATTTGACTCGGGAATTTTTCAGGACGGGATTTGGTCCGATCGTCGGCGATTTTTCCGCTTCGCGAGTGCCGATAACGCCGTTATTGCGAGCGATAGGTCCGCGAACGCAGGAGACGAAGTCATTTCGACGATTACGCCGTGACTGCGGAATCATAACGACGATCGCGCCGTAGCCGCGATTATTGGACCGCCGATCGCACCATGACCGCGATTATTGGACCGACGATCGCACCGTGACCGCGAGTCATAACGACAGTCACGCCTTGTCCGCGGAGTCATAACGACGATCGCGCAGTGACCGCGAAGTCCTACCGACGATCGCGCTGTGACCACGAGTCATACTGACGATCACGCCGTGACCGCGAGTCATACCGACGATCGCGCAGTGAACGCGGAGTCCTACCGACGATCGCGCCGTGACCGCGGAGTCCTACCGACGATCGCGCCGTGACCGCGAGTCATACCGACGATCGAGCTGTGATCGCGAGTCATAACGACGATCATGCCGTGACCGCGAGTCATACCGACGATAACCCCGTGACCGCGGAGTCATACCGACGATAGCGCCATGATTGCGAGTCATGACGACGACCGCGCCGTGACCGTGAGTCATACAGGCGATCACCCCGTGACCCGCGAGTCACACGTTACTATAGGTACCTGTAAATTGTTACCCATTTTTTGGTTTTTATAGATCAGTGCCACAAATGGTAAAAATTGATTTCTTAAGTCTTTTTTGGTAACTGCAATACAGTACCTACTTCTTTTTATGCACAGAAAAAAATCCCGTCCCGTCCTGTCCCGAAAATCGGGAAGGAAATAAAAATCCTGTCCCGTCCCGTCCCGACTAAAAATTCAATCCCGTCCATCCCTAGTCATTACCAACTAAGAAACAATGGGAAACATCTAGTAGCCTATACTAGTTAAAAAGGTATTATGTGGACACCAGACTATACTATTAAAAAGCAGCTGAGTTGAGTGTTGGTATTGCAATTACAAGCAGTATAATTTATAATGCATGTTTATGTTTTTCATAATTTTTAATAGAAAAAATAAAATTTATTTCTTACATTTCGGGAGAGGGGGGTCTCCCTGGCATACAGTTTTAACAGAACGTTCAGTTGTTGTCATAGTTAAAAATGTAGAAAAAACAATTGCATGAAACAATAGCCTATTCTTAGCACTTAGCTCAGTCTATAAGGACTTCAGTCCATTGGCAAGTTAGTGAATTTAAAAAACCAATGATTTTAGCCCCACCTGCAATGCATCGAGTTCATTTTGCAGCACAGTCACTCGGCATGTGAGCTGCTCGTTGCGGAAATTGAGGCTGTCGGCTTCTTGGTCTGCTTTCCTCAGACTCTGCTCTGCCTCTCTCAAGGATTCCTTCAGTTCACTATTGAGTTGCTGTTCTTCCTGGAATGCCTTCTTCAGCACTGACAGCTGAGCTCGACACTTATAAGACACAATAGATATAGTAGCTTAATCAATCATATTGTCATAACACGACTATATTTAAATACTTCATGTTTGTACAGTAAAGAAATATTGATCATTTCCATAATAATCCATGCAAGAATATAGACTAATCACTATAAAGAAAGTTGAATGAAACTCAACTAGTAACTTAATATATAAAACAAATAAAAAACCTATAGTTGTTGTGACCTTTAAAATATTTTATTTTCACTGCAAAGCGTCTAGACGCAATGCATTTAAATTATGTAAAAACTCTTCAGAACCTTTATATATAAATATATATATAAAATGGTACAATACTATTAGGCCTACCTTAGAATATTCCCCAGCAAGTTTATGGTATCTGGTCTGAAGGTCACCAGGAGAACCCTCCATTTTTAGTTGAAATGTAAACCAATTTTCTCTGTAAGAAACATAGTAGGGTACCATAGACTGAGGAACTCAAGGGTGTATGTTTTATCTATGATAATACAATCAACAACAAACGCCATTGTAATGAATTCTTAACGTAATGTTTTTAATATCTCTTAAATTCAATCATCTAACTGCTACATGGTTCATTTAACTTGCACTACTATTTAGCCTACAGTAGCCTAACAAAAATGTCTACTTTGAGTCTTTTCATTTTTTTTAATAGGCCCTTAAAACTCAATTAAATATGTACGGTACATAGGTTAATCAGGTCTTCACTAATTCTTTGTCTCAATAAGTTGCGAGACACTTGTCAGTTCAGTTGTCGTGGGCTGATAGTAAGAAAAAATACTAGTAGTATCCTCAGAAGAAATTGAAATATGTTATCTTTGGATGTCAAAAATGGGGAACAGAAAACCAATGTTTACCCCTCAACTTTAATAAAACCCCATTCACATACGGTAGTCTAATCATGCTGATTTGCAAACTCATTTGAGAAAATGTAGGTTTAGGCCTAGGTAGGGGTCTCAATCCCGGGCCTTCAATCCAATCCCGGGATTTCGGGATTCGTCTCAGCCGATCCCGGGATTATATAATATTATGATTTTTACCTTTTTTTCCATTTAAAATGAGCGAGTAGTCTCCTCATTGAGTACTTTAATCTTTTAAACTGGCCTTACCAGTGCTAGGCTACACTGCGCAATGTTTCCGTTTTATAAGTAAATAAATATTACCACGCTGAACTTTCATCGCCCGTATTTCTTATTTACAGTGTATAAATGTTGATATGTCACTCTAGAATATAAGTTAATAAATACAATTACAAAAATCACGAGCAACCGCACTTGCACGTAGCCTAGATACGTCACGCTAATAGATAGATTAAAGATAGCTAAGAGAAAAAGATAAAATGGGAAGAATCACGAGTAGCAGCGTTAAAATGTTATTTTGACTGACAGCAATAAAACAATATAACTTAAGATAAGTTAGGCTCTTATTAGACGAGGCAGCCAAGTTGCGCAACCAGCCGCCTGTCTGGCTGCCTAGCGTAGCAACCAGTAGAGCAACCAGTAGAGCAGCCACAGGGCAGCCACAAGATTACCAACTAGGCCAGTCTCTTGTTGACAGTGGAACAGTGTTAGTGGAACAGTTCTGTTGGGGAGAGACGCTGTCAGAATGCGAGATGAATATTTGCTTCTTCTGCTACTCATGAAAAAGAAAAGACGAAGGAAGAGGAGAATTCATATACATCCTATTCTTTCATCAAGAACAGAAAAAGGATTATATTACACCCTTTTTAACGAATTTTGCGCAGATGATAATGAGATGAACGCACTTCCACGAGTGAACTGGTGCGTTTCCACTACTACTGATGTGTGGCAGCGGGCGACTGGCTGCCCAGTGTAATAAGATCCGTAAGCTACACAGGAGCGCGACCAGACCGAGCAGCCAGTGGTTGCCTGTTCGGTCGCCGGGCTCGGCAACCAGCCGGCAGCCAAACAGTGGCTGCGCAACTGGCTGCCCTCGTGTAATAAGCTCCATAAGAACCAATGCCCAGTGACAGGCTGGCCGACTGGCTGCCCGGCTGGCTGCGCAACTTGGCTGCCTCGTCTAATAAGGGCCTTAGGTGCTGTAAAACAATAAACCATCTGCTTATGTAGTACTTAGCGTGTGTATGAAAAACGTAATTTTAGATTGTAAGAAATTTAATCACTAGGCCTACACTTATAACCAAATACGAAGATAAAGCTATAGACCCTAGAAATATAAGCAATCTTAATACTGTAATGAGATTATAATCGTGTGTTAATAGGGTCATTCCATATGAAATCAACCAATAAAAAATTATTTTCAACCTGACCATCTTAGATTTTGATGAAATTTTGCATACTTGTAGTATTTTGAGTCCTGAATCCAAATATGCTTTTTAAAAAAATCTATCTTTTATAGTTTTTATGATATAAATATTTGAAAATGGTAAAAATTGGCGTTTTTTACCGTGCGCGCAAATCTAAAATGTTGTCTAGGATGAGTTCTATTAATCCTATCAAGTTGTACAATGGCTCATTTTAAAGAGGATTCAAATGCCTTTAATCTGATACCAAACTCAACCTACTTTGGTAAAAATTAATTTTTTTTAAAAATTTCAAAATATGTTTTTGAAAAAAAATTTAAGATAGTGTTTTTTGAAAAATTTGAAAATTACATATATTAAAGAATGTAATCTAGTAAGTACATTATAAAAATTTCAAAATGGGATGATAATGGGATCAGCAGTTATGATAAAAATACTTGACTATGGTTCACTGTTTCCAAGCATTTCGGCGCATACAGTGTGTAAGTACTAACCTAAATGTATCATTAAATAAGAGTCTATTAATTATATGATTAAAATTAAAAATATCTGCCTATATTTGAATTATGTATGTCATATTTTGCTATATATAAGCTAAATCTAGCAAGTAAACAACATTATTCAAGTTAACAGAGTTTCCGTCAACCTTTGAACAAATATGGACCAATGGGTTTTGGTTCAGGTTCCTCAGTCTTTTCCAGTTAGTTGTGTTGCAACGATTTACTGTAATCAATCTTTAAGTCTGCCTTTTCACTAGGCTGGAGACTCTAGTCAGCCACTAGATCTGTGCAAAATCACATTGTGAAGCACTTTACGTTTACACTATCAGGTTGCAGCGACCCACCTCGGCTGTAGCGACTCGGTCTTGAGACAAGAGGAAAGACTGACAAACATAAGTTAGACCTGTGTACCTGTGTGTCAAACAAATTACAACTTCTCAAGACGGGGTCGCTACTGCCGAGGTGGGTCGCTGCGACCTGATAGTGTAAACGTAAAGTGATTCACAATGTGATTTTGCACAGATCTAGTGGCTGACTAGTGTCTCCAGCCTAGTGAAAAGGCAGACTTAAAGATTGATTACAGTAAATCGTTGCAACACAACTGGAAAATACTGAGGAACCTGAGCCAAAACCTATAGGTCCATGTTTGTCTGCCTTTCCTCTGGTGACAAGAGAGAGAGACAAACAAGCATTGATAATTTTGTCACACAATATACTGTGATCAATCTATTTAAATCCTGTAGTAACCTTATTATTGATACATATATAATATTCCATGATAGCCTAATTATTTAGTTTTGGGGAAATGTCTGCTCATAAGTACCTATAAATAATGTATTCTCACTTTAACAAATAAAATTTTTTTAGTGAAAACTGATTTGTGGATTTAAATACCACAACCCACATACCACATTTCTGTATAACTTCTATTTTGATATGTCAAAAATTAAAAAAAGTTACGGAGAATTTTCAAAATGTCCATCCGGTTATTTTTTTAACTTTGCAAAGGTATTTTTTAAATATCATAGCAGTCAAATAAAGGAATTGGATTATGGCTGCTAATAATAACTAAAGCTCAAAACATCTGTTTTCATTAGAAAAATCATTTTAAAAAATAACACTTAAAACTTAAAACCCAAGTATTTTTTTTTTCATGTCCGGGAAATTTTGCTTCAGAACTAAGGGTCGCGACGCCATAAGTAAGGGTCAGCAAATTGGGTAATTTTTTCTTTCTTTTTTTTTAAAGTTATTACCTACTGCTTACAAAGTAATCAAAGCAGGTATTTTCTTAATCCCAGATAAATGGGCTATTCAATTATGGTTTTAAGTCATAAATCATAAACTTACTGGGTTTGCTGTAGACATGGAAGTTTAGACGACTTTTTTTAACTAAAAAATTTCAGTGAAAAATAAGTATTTTTCATTTTTTGCAGAACCATAGTATGCACTATTAAATATTTTTTTTATGTAGAGTATTTATCTGGGAATAGAAAATTATAATAAACATTATCATTTAAAGATAAAATTAATATGAAAAAAATAAAATATGAAAATTGGAAAGTTTGTTCAAAGTAGCCCCCATGTTCAAAGGTTGACGGAAACTCTGTTAACTTGAATAATGTTGTTTATTTGCTAGATTTAGTTTATATATAGCAAAATATGACATACATAGTTCAAATATAGGCAGATATTTTTAATTTTAATCATACAGTTAATAGACTCTTATTAAATGATACATTTACGTTAGTACGTACACGCTGTATGCACCAAAACGCTTGGAAACAGTGAACCATAGTCAAGTATTTTTATCATAACTGTTGATCCCATTATCATCCCATTTTGAAATTTTTATAATGTACTTACTAGATTACATTCTTTAACATATGTAATTTTCAAATTTTTCAAAAAACACTATCTTAAATTTTTTTTCAAAAACATATTTTGAAATTTTCAAAAAAAATTAATTTTTACCAAAGTAGGTTGAGTTTGGTATCAGATTAAAGGCATTTGAATCCTCTTTAAAATGAGCCATTGTACAACTTGATAGGACCAATAGAACTCATCCTAGACAATATTTTAGATTTGCGCGCACGGTAAAAAACGCCAATTTTTACCATTTTCAAATATTTATATCATAAAAACTAGAAAAGATAGATTTTTTTAAAAAGCATATTTGGATTCAGGACTCAAAATACTACAAGTATGCAAAATTTCATCAAAATCCAAGATGGTCAGGTTGAGAGCCTTGTTGATTTGATATGGAATGACCCAATAGGCCTAGTTATATTTTATGGCATCAATGAAAATAATACTTATATTTCCGATTGCAATGTTATGTTTGCTACACGATTTGCGTTGTTAACGTTTAAAACAGTAAAACCAAACTCAAAATAACTTGTAGGCCTACTGTAATATCATCATAGCCCAGTTAAGAAACTGTACCCAAGTTCGAACTAATGTAATAACATTTACAGAAAGTAAATCCAAATCGTAAAAGCGTAAAGCTTTTAGGCATTTACCTAGACTGTAAGATGGATTGGAACAGCCATATTGATTATGTTTGTAGCCGACTGGCTAGGGTTGTGCACTTGCTTCGTAAGTTAAGGTAC